CCAAAAGTACAGTAGAAGGAGGACTCTAGCTTTTGAAAGCTATCCCACTTGTCCGTCCATATTAGGCATAACTAACCAACCTAAGGTATAGTTTTAGCTTTCACTTGTGTGTTTATCCTTGTTCTACATCTGGTTTGGGTCTAAACCCAAGTTCCACACCATGCTAGTTGGTGGAGTACTCATATCCTCGCGTTAGACCACTAGAATGCTAAAATTGCAATAGACTCTATTTAGCTCTATTTGGCGTGTTGGTTCTGGCATTGGGATGTTAAATGCTCTAGGATTGTTCTAACTCATTTCGTGCTCCTGTCCCTTTGCTTTTTGGGGTATATGCTCAAGAGTTGCTCTATGCTTTGATTCTTTCACTTTCTAACTCTATGCTTAGGAGTTTGGCTCCTTTCTTTCATTCAATGGCTGAAGGTTTGAAACCCAAGTTCCACACTACTGTTCTTGGACATGTGGCATGTGGCATATGGCATGTGACACATGGCACATTGAGGGTTTAAGTTTCACTTCATAGTTATCCTATGGTAAATCATTATAGGATAAAGGGTGAAAACCATGTATGCTACACCTATATATACAACAAAATTTATTTTATCTCACACATACCATAGAGAATCAAGACTAGCTCTACACCATAATGCAAATATAGAAGACAACATGTGACAATAGATCAAGTTATAAGAGATAAACTCAAACCTATATCAACTAATATAAAGAGGAGAACAAAGGATTTTTTGTCATAAAATTAGCTTAGAAAGTGAATATTGGTGTCAAATAAACCTTTTGATGATACTTCTAAAAGAAAGATATTTATATAAAGACCCTTCATTATTTATATAACTTCTTATTTCCCAAAAAAATCTACATGTCAAAACTTTCCATTGCAATAATACCAACAAGATACTAAAGTCTCCACCTAAGAAATAGAAAATATCAATTTAGGAAATGCCAACAATACTAATGTGAAGCCAAGTTATGGCTAACTTCATCACATGTCTAATAGTAAATATCACAACTATAATTATATCTTTATCTTTATTCTTGAATATAAATAACAACAACATTAACATCTATTAGAACATGATCATTTCCTATAGAAAGTGGGGCTAAAGCACATACAGAGGTGATGTTTCATAACATTATACCAATTAAAAAATATCACTAAGGGTGTTACAGTAAGTGTATACACAAGTCTCACAAGTTTTGATAAGATGTCACCCACAACATGCCCAACTTAATTTACTCCAATATATTCAACTCAACACTATACAAGAAATTCTAGAATCAAATACTAAATTACATAACTAGCTTCAATGACCCTTAACAAAGACAATACAATTGCTAAAATGCATTGTCATAATTATTAACATGTCCAAATGTGTGTTTAAAGATGTCTAAAAGAATGTTTTAATTTACACAAGTGAATGCACTTAAACTATTGTATATATGTTTGAAGATATCTAAGAGAAGGTTTCAATCCACACAAGTGAATGCACTCAAACTATTGTATTATTAGACATATGTAAGCTTCTAACTTTGGACATCCCAGAATGAACCACTTCTCAAATTCATAACCCTAAATATCACAAAATCCTTAATAGATTGAAAAAAAGGGTGCACTTTTATTCATGAGCCCTTTTCTTTTATATTTGAACCCCATGAATTGTCTCTTAAATTGTTCTCTTTGGTTGCTTATAACATAATATAATATATTTATGCTATCCCTTGAAGACATATAGGAAATTCATGCAAATGCCAATATCATCTTAAAAATGATAAATAGCAATCATCATAAAGTGATTGAACTAATGGTACATATCATCCCCAAGATTTCTAAAGAAAAAATCTAACTAAATATGAGGATTAAGAGCAAAAGAAAAAGAAGTTGCACCATGTGTTATAAATACTACTATTAACTAAGTCTGATTGTTTAACTACAACTGCATAATATCAAGCAATTTCACTAACAGTTACTCCAATATTAGAGGAGGAGGATTCTATTGTAAAGGAGGAATATATTACTTTACAATGAAAATAAACAGAAAAATGAATAAAAAATAAAAGAGAAGAAATGAAAAAGCTATAAGAACAAGAGAGATCAAGATGATGCAAAAATTAAATCTAAACCAAAAGCTTAAATCCAAGCAATTCTTAGCAAGTGTGCATATTTAATTAACCCCCTAAGTGATTGATTTAAATTGAAATTAATCTAATAACTATCAAAATCTCATTATGCAAGATGTACACCTGGACCTAATAATCTAAAAATTTTACTTGGTTTTTATATAAGTACTTTTTTCTAAAGCAATGCTAACATTAATCTAAATTAAATAGTAATTTAATATATTTAATTTTGAAAGCTATAATTACTATTATATAATTCCTTTATCAGAAAATATTTTATGTAAAAATTAAAAAATTTTGCTGCACATTGTATGCAGCAATACTTAAGTTTATGGTAGACAAAACTAGATTATATTAGGAAGTGTTTAGGAAAGTTTATAAATTATAAAAACAAAATGAATAACAACCATTAGATGGTAAAATATTCTAAAATATCCAAATATATTCTAGGTGTATCCACTATGCTATAGGTTTGCTTAAGCAAAGAAAAATAATTAATAAGTTTGCAAATGTTATAAATTGCATTGATAAGTAAAATAAAATCCTACTTATTTTCTACTAGTAATTCATGCAATAAGAAAATAAATCCATATTTTAATAATATTATACTTGTAAGTGCATAGAATATAGAAATGGAATATAAAATTGTATATATTACTTAGCCCAAAAACCCTGAACTTAGATATAGGAGCAAGTGTTTTGGATTGAAACCAATTCAAAAATCCCACTACACTAATATTAGTAGATGGCATTGTAGCCATATGCTAATATTAAGATATGGCACTGTAGCTGTACACTTGGACCTCATATCCCTAATTTTTAAAATTTTAATTTAATTTTAAAAAATATATAATGTTATTCTTTTATAAATTATTCTAAAATAAAGTAAAAGTAAATAAACAGGATTGATCTAGATGCTATACAAAATCAAAATTTTAGAAAAATTACCTCAATTAATACTACTAAAAAACTACTTGATTTTAAATTTTGACTTATCATTTTTACTAAGTATTTGATAGGTTTCTTTCTTGAGCCACATTTTTAAAAGATGCAACATCTTAGAAAACACATAAAAATTTATGCTAGTGATAACATGTTCTGTTGTATAAAAGGGCACACAATATAATCTTCTATGTCAAAAAACAAATATGATAAAATAAAGTAAATAAATAATCTTTAAAATTAGCTAAAATAGTATAAATAAAAGTTGAATACTAATTTGACATAATCAAATATCACTCTCTAATATCATGCACCCCACAATTATTAGCATTAAAAAATAACTCTAACACTTTATAATTTGCTAATATTGAATCTAATAAAGGTAATAAAAATACCAGTCTGGAAGCTAGCAAGCAATCTACTAGGAAGGCTCCAGAGACTGGATGTACATGGAGAGGAGAGTACCCAAAGTTGTTAGAACTCTCCTTTAGACTACAAAAATATATCTATAACGTGGTCAGCTGCTGCTAGGAAATTCACTTGATATTCAGTCGAAAGAATATAGAAGCTTCCTCCACTAGAGGGGCAAGTCGTAGGCGTGTATGACAGGGTTTCTTGCTCCAAAATATCCGGTCCAGATTCCACTGGAAATTTGAAAGGCCGCCCACACGGCGTAAAAGCACATATAGCGTGGAACTCAAGTCGTAAATCGTAATCACTGGAGCTGGCGAATTTTCAAAATAATCAGAAAACGTTGCAACAGATGTCTGAGCCCGGGTTCGAAATCGTAATCACTGGAGCTGGCGAATTTTCAAAATAATCAGAAAACGTTGCAACAGATGTCTGAGCCCGGGTTCGAACCGGGGACCTCTAGTGTGTGAGACTAGCGTGATGACCAACTACACCACCCAGACTTACATGCTCCCCTACCTATTCTTAAGGTTCTAGAATAGAAGATATTTGTGCTCTTTTTATAAAAGATCCAGCAAGGATGGAATTGATTGATGGAAGCTCCCAGTTGGATTGGAGGGGAATTGATTGGCAACAGTGTGTCTTGTGCTGAGAAGAGGAGGCAAGCACCCTGCTACACTGGTGGATTGACAGGAGAGCAAACTTTTATCATCATATCATTCAAGCAGAAAGAGCAGCAGAGCAGCTGGTCAGGTCAGACCATCTGTCCCCAAGAAATATCTTCAGCAGAGAAAAGAGTTTAAATAGGAGTTTTGGGCAGGAAATCCTCCTAGCCTGGGAGAAGAGCAGCAGAGCATTTGTTTGACAAAGAAGATGAGTGAAGAGAATAACAGAAGACAATGGTGCATGGCAGCAACAATCTTGTGACAGTGCCAAAAACCATTCTATTCCCTTGGAAGCATTGCACATTAATTCCTTGTGGGTGGGCTGTTGTGGGGTGTGATCTCTCACATTTGAGGGACCACCAGAAATTCTGGCATGGGCTAGCTTGCAGTGCAGCAAAAACATCTCCCAGCCCTAAAGTTTTTGAGCTCGTGTTTCTTAACAGATGCTAGCTTTCATTCACTCTGCCTCTTTCCTGGGGTTGCTTGTTTCCCCTCAAGTTTTTTTACTGGCCCTGAATTGATTGATTGATTGATTGATTGTGATGTGTAAAGCTTGCATTGGAGCGATGAAGCACAACATCGCCCACACAAAAAAATGCAAAAGAAAAATAAAATAAGAAAAGGTGTTTTTGCATATTCTGGAACTTTCAAAAAGGCTGGGCAATTAGCAGCCGCCATATCTCCATTCTCTGCCACAGCCAAATCTCTTGCCGGTCGCCGTTCGAGCAAAATAGAAACATGTGATGCAAGCGATGCAAAAGAAATTACGAACTAAAACGATTTTAAAACTCGGAAAAGAGAGAGAGAGAGAGAGAGAGAAAAAGATTGTTTGGACATGTGAGTGACACGATCATGAATCGTCCGTGCAGTATACGATTATGAAGTTGAAATTAGGCACACACATCCATCCCAAGTTCTTCGTGTTCTAGGTAGAGAGAGAGATGCTAGTGAGATAGCATACCTAGTTCTTTCAAATAGTTTTCTTTTTTTCTGTGTTGATCGTCCTGTTCATCCAAGGGCAGAAGAGATGGCTGGAGCGATTCCAATGCCGGGAGTAAATCTCAGTGGCAGCTCCAGATCTCGTTTTGGTGCCAAGCTCTTCACCCGCGGGATCGTCAAGGCGGCTATGGTGACCGACACAAAGCCCAACATCACCGACGAATTCGACAGTCCACACGACAAGAAGAAGCTCAAGATCAATGGCAATGGCAGCTTCCGCGAGAGAATTCCCGGCAAGAGCAGGATCCCGCCTCCAAATTCCTCCTGGGACGAACGAAAAGAGGAAGAAAAAGAGGAGGAAGAAGAAAAAGTTCCCACAAGCATCCACGACTACATGGAGCAGTCACTGGAGCTGATTAAATGCGCCGATGGCGGCCCTCCTCGCTGGTTCTGTCCTCTCAATTCGCCATCGCCATCTTCTTCTTCTTCGTCGTCCTCCAAGATTTTGGCAGATTCTTCTCCACTGCTGCTCTTCGTTCCAGGTACTACTTGCTCAGATTTTTAACGGAATGAGAGGCTGTACTTTCATTCCGTTTAAAAACTGGTTCCTTGACTGACTTTGGTTTCTAGCGTTGTGATTCCAGGCATGGATGGCACTGGCCTTGGTCTCATCCTCCATCACGAAACACTAGCACCGTATGTCTCTCTTGATCCATAAACCAAAAAACTCTCTCTCTCTCTCTCTCTCTCTCTCTCTCTCTCTTCTGCTCGATCATCTGAGAAAAAACTTCTCTTTGAATTCCAGGCTGTTTGAGGTGAGATGCCTCCACATTCCAGTCATGGACCGCACTCCCTTCGAAGGTAGAAACTTTTTTTCTTCTTTGCTTTCGAAGCTTTTTTCTACTTTTTGTCTTTTGACGCTTGAAAAATGTTCATATTTTCCTTGAACTTTAGGTTGCCTTTGGTTTCGTTTTTTCCAGGACTGCTGGAGCTAGTGGAAGGCGCAGTCAAGGCGGAGCACGGACTCCATCCAGGCAGGCCCATTTTTCTCGTGGGTGATTCGTTTGGAGCTACATTGGCGTTGGCGGTGGCTGCACGGAATCCTTCGCTCGATCTCGTCCTCATCCTTGTCAACCCTGGTAAGACAAGTTTAAAGAAAAAACCAGTTGTTTTTTTCCTTCCTTTGAATCGATCTTTTTCCTTTTTTTCGTTCCAGCCACCTCCATTCAAAGATCTCCGCTTCAACCTCTATTTCCAGTCTTGGATTTAGTTCCCGAGGATGCGTTCCACTATGTTCCATACCTCCTCAGCTTCACAATGGGTACGATCCAAGCTTTGTTTTACAAATTAATCTTTTTGTCTCTTTCAGGTGATCCTGTTCGCATGGCTTCTGCCAAAATCCCAAAAGACTTACAGCAGCCATTTGAAAGATCACAGAAAGTTGCCGACTCTTTGGTCGATATGCTTCCAACACTACCGGTGAGTTCCTCCTCGAAAGTTTGTGGACCTTCGCGAGTTTGATTTTGATATTTTCTCTTGCGAATGCAAGGGCTTGGGCCGAATAATTCCCAAGAGCTCGCTCGGCTGGAAGCTAAAACTCATCCGGGCGGGGGCCTTGTACGCAAACTCGAGGCTGCATGCCGTCAAGGCGGAAGTTTTGGTTCTCGCAAGGTTTGGTTTAATCAAGTTGACGTTTTCTTTTATATATCCTCCTTTTTTTTTTCTGTAGCATGAAAGACCAGATGCTGCCAAGCGCTGAGGAAGCGAAGCGATTGAAAGCTGCTCTAAAGAATTGTAAAGTCCGAATTTTCAAAGACAGCGGCCACACGCTACTTCTGGTTTGTCCCGTTTGTTTTCTAACACTTTTCGTGCTTTGAAACTGATAGAGCTTGACAGGAAGATGGTCCCAGCTTGGCTACCACCATAAAATCCGCGCTGATGTATAGAAGATCAAAAGAGCGAGACGTTGTCAAAGACTACGTTTTGCCTACCAAAGAGGAGTTTCATCGACAATATGAAAGCACAAGGTAGTAGCAAATCACTAGTAGCTGTGAATGCTGATTGATCGTTTCTTTTTTTCTCTACTTTCTCTTGCTCTTTTTTCTTTCTTTCTTTCTTTTTTCGCAGGACTCTTCGCCACCTTGTGAGCCCCGTGTTCTTGTCAACTGATAAAAACGGCCAAGTAATCAAAGACCTGTCCGCTATACCCGACGAGGAGCCACTTCTTTTCGTAGGCAACCATATGCTCATGGGGCTGGAGCTCTCACTCATCGTCGGGGAGATTTACAAACAAAAGAAGCTGCTCGCCCGAGGCCTGGCACATCCTTTGCTCTTCTCCCACAGGTTCCACTCCGAGTACTCGGACCAAGGCTTCATCGATCAGATCGGTCTCTTTGGTGCCACACCCGTCACTGGAAAGAATTTTTACAAGCTTCTATCCAGTAAACACTCGGTTCTTCTCTATCCGGGTGGTGCTCGCGAGGCTTTGCATAGAAGGGTATGGTATTTATCTCTTCTTTTCTTTGTCAACTTACCATCTGGATTTTTTTCCCAGGGAGAGGAATACAAGCTCTTTTGGCCAGAACAGTCCGAGTTTGTCAGAATGGCTGCTCGTTTCGGTGCCACCATAATTCCTTTCAGCTGCGTTGGCGAAGACGACATGGTTGAGGTAATTAAGTCCATGCAATCGCATGCTCAAAGTTAAGTGTGATTCATCTCGTTTTCCAGCTCGTGATGGACTACGATGACATAAGGAGCAATTTCTTCTTGAAAGATCGGCTAGTACTCACAACGGACTCCAACCTAAGGTAGGAAAAGATGGTCTTTTTCACGTTAACATTCTTGTTCTTCCAGGTCTAAATCAGCTGGCGAAGTAGCAAACCAGCCTCTCTACCTTCCAGTTTTCGCTCCCAAAGTTCCTGGCCGATTCTACTGCTTGTTTGGAGCTCCAATCTCCACTGCTGGTAAGATCCAACGAAACTTTCGCTTCTTCCTTTCTAATGCTCGAGTTCTTCCAGGGATCCAAGAGCGAAAACACGCAGATTCTCTCTACCTCAAAGTAAAAACCCAGGTGGAGTTGGGGATCTCCTACTTGCTCCAAAAGCGAGGCCAGGATCCATACAGAAGCGCTCTCCCGCGCCTCGTATACGAGGCGTCGTGGGGAGGAACGAAGCAAGGTCCGACGTTCGATCCCTGACCATGACACAACATAATTTTTACAAGAGGTAAAAGTGTAAAGGGAAAATTCTTTTCTTTGTAGAGAATCTTATCCAGATAGCCACGTGTCTGGCCACGGTCGGCGAGAATCTAGGGCCCCTCTTCCGCTTCCGACGCGTGTACGTCCACGTGTCAGATAGGCATTAAAGTTAGGGCTGTTTTGGTTCCTTGTTCGTTTTGGCGCGCGCCGCTCCAGTGCTGTCGATTTCCAACACAGTGAAAGCAGCGAGAGATGGTTTTTTGGCGCGTGATGGAAGTGATTGTCAACAGCTAGAGACAGTGACGAGTGTGAGTGATTCCAGTGTTTGCTTGTACACTCCATCCAAAGAGGGCCCTTTTTGTGTGGAGTAGGAACTAGTGTTGGGTTTAAGGCAAAAACAAACAAGCGCTACAAGGACGATCAAAGTACTCGCGCCCATCTTCGTCAACTTGATTGCTTCCAACAAAAACCCCAGAGAGAAAAGAAAGAAAAAAAGATCTATAAATTCATTGCAAAGGAACCGAATCAAAGCCGTGCTCATAACTTTGAGCTCTGGCAGCCATGGCGCCAGTGTTTGCATTACAAAGTACTTCACTTCCCAGCAGAACCGAAAAGAAAAAACTATATAGATGATACGAAGGATTCAAGCACACTTGGCATCACTCCAAAGTCGTCCATATCTCCATCAGCTCTAGCGTCGCTCACACACAAAGTGAGTGAGAAGATCTCGACTGGTTTGTACCGGAGCTATGGCGACGCGAGCGATTTTTTAAAGCCCGCTGCCTCTAGAGGAACAGACAGCAGAGGCTTAAAACGAATCTCACCGTATAGTGAAGAACACTGGCAAGAACACCACCTCGAAATGGAACTGATAACGACGCTCTTGTATTTCAGAGAAAGGAGGATGTCTCCGCACTATCCAAATTCACATCAAATGGCTCTCTTTCACACTGCTAGCTACGTAAAATAGTGTACACCTTAGACAAACATAAGAAAAAAAAGACCAGCTCATAAACCAAAGAGTGACAAGAAAAAAGAAAAGCAGAAAAAAAGGGAAAAAAAAATTACAGCGGGGACGGATACCGATTTTTCACACTGACCATCTCTATCGTCTCTGTCTGTGTGATCCGCATGAAAAAACTGTCTGAAGAAAAGCCAAGCATGAGAGAGCTAGAAAGCAAAAAAGCAAAAAGAAGAAAAAAACCTCTAGAGATGTAGCGAGAGATCGAGCGGCGACGACTCCTCCCATTGGAGTCCCGGGTTCTGGACAACACATCTTTGGAAACTTCCCGAATTGCTGGCAGCGGCGGCAGTAGCGGCCGCGTGAAGAACTTGGTCTGCGGTGCTGCTGGGAAGGAAGTGAAAACTCCCCGGCCATCTCTTGCTGCTGCTCATCGCATCATCGAATCCGAAACCAGCGGCACCGCCACCCCCGGACATATCGTTGAACTTGGCACCCACGCCTCGTCCAAACTTTCCAATCATCTCGGGTGCAACGCACTTCCCCACCCCCGGCTGCGTCGAGATGAAAGGCTTGGACCAGCCATGGTGTCCCTGCGGGAGCTGCGACGTAGAGCTGGCGTTGGTGACGCTGAGACCGTTTCCAACGCTGGTTTGAATGGCGGAAGCGTCCGAGAGAACGCCTTGTGGAGAGGTCTTGTGGTTGCCGGAGTGAGCTTGCAAGCATAGCGATCGACTCAAAGTCACTCCACTGGAAGAAACTCCTCCTCCTCCGCCTCCTCCTCCAGCTCCTCCTCCTCCTCCTCCTCCTCCTCCTCCTCCTCCGTGACCAAAGTGGTGATGGTGCAAAGCTCCAAAGTTTGGCTGGCCGAGGCCCGTGAACCTGCCGGTTATGGTGCTCGACGCAGCCGCCGCTGCTGCCGCCGCCGCCGCCGCCGCCGTGCCACACCGCTGGATCCTCCGTGCCGCGGTGCGCTCCCGCTTGTGCGCGTTCTGGTGGCCGCCGAGAGCTTGCGAGCTCGGGAACTTCCGCTGGCAGTAAGTGCAGGCGAATTGCCTGGGCTCCGACCCCTGCACGCCGCTGCCGGCGCCATCGAGCATGGTGGTGGTCGACGGAGGAGGCGTCGCTGTTCCTCCCCCGCCCCCTCGATCCGAGCTAGAGCTTGGAGAGACCCACTCGCTCGCCTTGAGCTCGTTGTCCCCGACTATCTCGTCGCTGTGATCTTCGTCAAGGGGACTGCCTTCCTCCATCAAGCTTTGCTGCTGCTGGAACATGTTGTACCCCACGGACGATCGATCGACCGAAAGGAAGTTACTCGAGCTCTGCTGCTGCTGCTGCTGTTGTTGTTGATGGTGGTGGAAGTGCTGTAGTTGCTGCTGTTGCTCGTCGCTGCTGCTGCTCCTCCTAAACACTGTTACTGTCGATGCCATTGCTCCGTCCGAGTCGCCTGTTCTCAAGCTCAAATCCAACGAGAACTGCTTTGACGATTCTTCGTCCATTGCCTCTTGTTTCTTCCTTCCTCTGGAAATGGATTCTCTTGGCTCTTCACGCCTGTAACAACCAAATGGATCTTCATCATGTCAGTAAAACCAACACAATAAAACTTTTTTTTAAAAAAAAGAAAGACAAATTAAAATGACCACAGACTGTTGAATAAAAATGAAAAGGAAAAAATAAAAATAGCTCTCTCTCACTTTTTTTTTTTTTTTTGCTTTCACACTTCACACCAGATCGCTTGCATGCTAGCAAGCTAGAAATCTTTCTAGAATGTGGCGAGGACTAGACGAGCGAGAAAAGCTCTATCATCTTTCACACTTTCCTATAAGCAACTACTCTCTCACACTCACACTCGCTCCAAGATTTGGGGCTTTTCCCGGAATTGCGAGAGGCATCCACATCTTCTAGCACTACCAAATTGGGGGAACCAGCATTTAGATTCACGAACCGAATGCAAGCAAGAAAGCATCAAAAGAACAGAGAGAGCGCGAGCGAGAGAGAGAGAGATCGATAGGAAAGGAAGAACACCCACCGAGCTAGAGCTGGAGTGATCTAAGCCGCCGGCGCTGGCGCCGCGCATCCCCCACCCCTCCTCTCCAATCCGCTGCATCCGCTAGGGCGCCGGGGAGGAGAAAATCCGCGCCTTGCGAATCGCGACTCTAGATCACGGGAGGCCTGCGCGAGAAAACTCGGATCCCTAAAACCAATCCGACAATGCTTGGAAGCTCTGCGGGTGTAAGTGTGTGTGTGTCGTGACGGAAGAAAAGCCCCTCTCCTTCTCTTTTACTAAGTACCGAAGTACTTATCACCAAGTTGATCCATATTATTTTACCTTGCAAGATAAAATTTCGAAGTTTAAACTCCGTCGTTGTCCGCGGTAAATGCACGCCTTCCGTACCGCTCCAATTTTTTTTTTTTTTTTTTTCTTGCACTGTCGCTTTTGGTGACCAAAAAACTGACTCGGCCAAGGCGAATATTCGGGCACCTGTCGATAGCAAACTCTGGAACATCATACGGTCGATTTTAATCAAAGTGGTCTTATGCCTCCAGGTGGGCGCCAAAAGACCTCAAAAGCATGTATTATTATTAATCAGCCTCCATTTGTTTTATTATTATTCTTCGTTTGAAGGGGTAAAAAAGTAAGCGCTTTTGGACTTGCAGTGTTCTCTTTTTCGAGGATTCCTGAGATGCCTTCGCCTCGCACTTACCGCGAAAATGGTGGGGCTTGTGCTGCGTCAACTTTATAAAGGCGGAGAGGTTCTCTCGTTCAAGCTTCCAGTCCACATTCCTGTTAAGGAGTTTCTTCCTCTATTATATACAAATCTTGACCCATGGAAGTGCGAAAAGGTGGCGGCTTCGTGCATGCACACTGCCCTAAAGCTAGAAAACAAGAAAACAAAGTGGCTTTGGGGAGGAGGAACTTGGTTGGGGTGGAACATGTCATGATCCTTTTAAACTAATCATTTTTTAGGTGTTTTTGCTCAGTTTGTACACAAAGACTATCTGGCCGCACATGTTACTAGATTGGTGTTTGAGCGTATCTTTTGCTGGCTTTGAATTTGAAAAGGTCGCCCTGGGGATTATCATGTTGTTTGATACAATCCACGAGAACCCAAAGCAATGATCACGATGAGACAAGATTTATATCAGTAACGAATCGAAACTCATTTTCTATGCGATCAATGTTGTACGTAGTGTCTCGTTCTTGCGGGGCTCCTCCTGGCTGGATCGATCGAATCAACCGGAATCTCGGATGTTTCAAGCCCGGTCTTTTGGATCGAGGCGATTTCTTGTTTTATAAGCTGTAATCCCCTGCTGCTTGCTTGCTCGACTTCGTGGCTTCATTCATGCACCAAAGAAAAACGAGCTCACGCATCATCAGTACTTTGAAGATTCCCTCCGTGCTTATCTATAGCTTAACCTTAAAAAGCAGTATAGTTGATTTAATCGTCCTACGTACACTTGCGGGACAAAGTCGCTCGTCCTTTTAGAAAAGGAGTTCTTCTCGTGACATTGACAAGAGTTTTCGAGGAAAACAACACGCGAAGCCGCGACTTAAAGCAATATTCTATCGCTGATCCATTTGATTTTGACGAACACAAACAAAACGGAAGGATTCAAAGTGAGACAATGAGATCTCCTGCAGAGATCCCCCTTGCAACTAAAGGTGTCGCAAAATCTTAAAAAAGGAATTTTTAAGTTTTAGAAAAAGGAAGAAGGAAACACTAGCCTTGTTTCGTTTCTCGTGTGAAGTACGCAACAAAGTTGCGCCAACTTTTCCTTGTTCCCATGACGCCCATGCTACGTCACGTCCATTGGAGCAATAAAAACTACATACTTGCATGGTTCTACAACATAGGCATAAAAAGGAATGTAGGAGCTAGTATGTTGAAAGGAAAAAGCCTAATCTATACCGTACGATTGGTCCAAACGTTCTCGACGGTGGAGATTGGCCGAGATTGAAGATTATCTTTCTCTCATGTTGTCTGTTTGGATCCAATGTATCTTCTCTTGTTTTCTATTTTGTTTCTTTCATTGTCTCGTGGAAAAGGATATGTAGGATCACTCTCCGAATCAATGCACAAGAGGACAGAATTTGGAGGAAATAGCCCCTGGTGTTGTTTGCTTCGCGAGAAAGACACCCAACTGAAAACCACCACACGCACAGAGAAACACACACACACAGAGAGAGAGAGAGAGAGAGAATACGCAAGATGAAGTATCTTGTATCATCTCTATCGATCGATCGCTATCGCAGCACAGTAAAAGGTGGCAGTATAGAAAAGAAAAACAAAGTCTAGCTTATAGTAAACGATCCAGGGTCCGTGAACTGGGAGCTCGCCAGGCAGCACTCATTTCAACAGCGACAGTTAGCAACGACCCCACAAAAACACCATCACTGTGGAGTGGGGTACTTTCTCTCGGATTTTAGGGCTATGTCAGCGTCGTACGGGCGCCCCCAGACAATCCGTACGCGACTATGTGTGCATGCACGCACGAACACCACGAAACGCATTCATCTCTGTGCGTTGTTTTTGTGTGCTTTTCTCGTTTCTACATTTATTTTGTGAACATTTCTGGATCCGTGTTGAATGAATCCATCCATTCCGCCGCTGCTGGCCGCGCTTCCGTCCGCTTTGTCTTTTAATTCACAGATTTCTGGAGCTGGATGAAGAGTAGGGAAGAGAGGAAGCATCTTTTTTTGTGGCCTGGAGGAGCAATCGCTTTCCGGAACCTTGAATGTGTTCTTGGCTGATCGGGTGTCGTATGGATGGTCTACACTTAGCTACGCTCTACGAATTCTTACACACACAAGTATAGCAGCAGTGCTATGCCAACTTACAGCAGCAGCAGCAGCAGCAGCAGCAGAAGCAGAAGAAGGCCCGGCTACAGGACATCTTATGAGTCGTATAATGGTACTCTCTCTGATAGGAAAAAGGAAAAAGAAATAAATGAATTTATTATTAAGTTTTGTAACCATCCATTCATTCATTTGTTTGTGGGAAGAAGTTATCTAGAACAAGTTCTACTTGTTGGAATCCACGATTTGTCCAATCCAATAGTGTAGCTCGATTCTTTACTACTGGCGATTCCTAGTGTCCAACACTTTTTTTCCCTTATATTTTTTTATCGCGGGCGAACATCAAAGATCCGTCTTTCTTGTCTTGTCTCCTGGAGGCTGGAGCTGCGAGGACCTTTATCGGAAAAGAAAAGGACAGCCTTTTGTAAGTATATAGACAATTCTTGTGTCTTTAGAAGTAGTGCACACAGCTTTGGGTTGGACATTTCAACCAAAGCTTCACAGCTGTTGCGGTTTGATATCTTAGTAGTATTTTAGAATCCATTCAAAGCCTGCCAGATCGTTGTGAAGCTATACATGCTGGATAGAAAGGTGTGTTGCAGCAACTTGGAATTTGACACCTCCATGAAACCACAGCTCGTTTCCATCCAATCCCTTGAAACTTCATGACGTTACTTATTCTAGTACATATATAAATATATATGTTCTGTTCTTGGTAGCTTCTTGTAAATTCACTGCTACTTTCTTGCATTTTATATATAGGTGTTTCTATCGAGAAATTTCTTGCTAGCAGATCAATGACCCATTCGATCTCCCCAACCAACAACAAAACAAAGCTAAAAAAGAGAGGAAAACTGAGGAGTCTGTACCTTCCAAGCTTGAGGACATTTGTGTTAGATCTTAAAGAAGTAGCACAGAAGAAGGGAAAGAAGAGTTGCCCGACTTTTTGGAAAGTTTCATGTCTCGCCGGTTGTCATATATTAATGACACTTCACAACACTTTGTTGGCTAGAAATGTTTTTTTTCCCATTGGATTGTTTGTTCATGCGAAGTGGACCCTGACTCTAGTTGGCTGCTAGCTAAGACGAAAGTATCATCATCACTGCTGGTCGAGAAGAAAATCTTTGGGAAATCGCCTACATAGTTCCTCATGGGCCCAAATATATTTCCTAGTTCTGCTTTCAAGCGAAACTCTTTATATATCTTCCAGCAATGAATTCTATGGGACATAAAATTAGCAGCTTGCCTTTCTATCTTGTTTTGAGACACGTAGCCGCACGAAAGAAAAGACGAGAGATTTCCAGCTGGATGAGATTGTCCACGCAAACTTTGTTCAAGCTGTATGGCTGCTAATTAGAGAGCATATCACAAGCTCTTGGCAAATGCAGCACGAAGAAAGAGCCTTCTTTCAGCTAGAATTTGTAATATAGCATTTTCTAAAGAGAAAGAATAAAGTCTCCACCACATTCCATATTTTCAGGCATGCATGCCTGAAAAACTTTTGGAAAATAGAGAGGATCTAGCAGCAAGAGGAATACTCACGGCAATAAAGAAGATCCAGCAGCAAAAGAGAGAATGAATATGAGATGAGAGAGAAAGGTAGATTAGAGTGTCATGCTTTTTAGTTGTGCACATGGATAAAAGCCTGTAATTGAAATATGAACCTTTGTAGCATTGTTATATGTCCTTGATCACCTTCCCTTCCCTCAAATATTAAATCTAGAAATTAAAATGGCAACCTGTACAAAATAGGTTGGCTGTTAGGGCTCTGGTTTTTACGCTTTTTTAACGGTTTAGATTCCAATTTTGGATGGTATTTGGAACATATAGAGTGGATCGAATCAAAAGCTCGAGGGGAAGGCATCTAGTCCCCTAGTTTGTGGCCTCCCGGCTAGTTTGATTACTTCCAAAACAGTGAACTCTATATCTTTCACATGATTTTGCCTATTTTTTGCAAACCATATGTTAGCAACATTCCTAAACTACGTTAACCTCCAATGCATTCCATTTTCCCAAGAGCAACTTGGAGGCCAACTTGGCTTTGCTCCAGGCTTTTTCAATCTTAAGCTCTCTAATCCTGCTCTAGAGTGATGGCAATCAGTGAAAGGAGAATGCCAAGGGGAATCGTCAAGAGCATTGAAAACGTAGATGAGTTCTAAGAAATATTTTCATTTTCATTGATTTCCTTAAAATTGAAGGACTATAAACAATTCTAGGATTGCATGGCAATCTCATATAACTAGACTTTGCCATTATAAATGCTTAATAGTGAATATTTTTATTCTAGGAATTTTCTAGAATTTTAGTAATAAGAATACTATTCATCTTTAAATTTCAGTTTAAATTTCATTAAACACCTCTAATGAATTTAAAATATTTTAAGTTTAAATTCATATTACCATCAGAGAGGCTAGAAATTATAAGCTCAAATATATAGCGGTATGAGCTCAACACACGGCTAGTGTGCTTTAATGATACCAGGCATGATATGGATGATCTGTTGCGGGAGCCACTGTGTACTCACTAGTATGACTTTGTGTGGTCTTCGACAATAGTTTATATACCAGGGATAAGCTTGTCACCGTTCTACTTGTCCAATGCGAATGGGTATGAAGATGATTTTTCAAGATTTCTCATGAAAGTCTGAATGTGTTGTTGCAGCAGACTTTGTTGATCAACACAAGTTTCCAAGGAGGAGGCTTCTGCATGAATAAGGCAATGTGTGATTGGAACCAATCTAGTTGCAAGCTTGGGGATTAGAAGCATGGACACATTCTGTTTTCTTTCCCTTAGGGAAAGAAAATTACCTGGTTCTCCAAGAGGCCAACGAGATCGAATTGCAGACATAGCATGTGGAAAGCCAAGGCATCTTCCACCTGGCCAGCGTTGCATAAGAGGCAAAGTCGTAGATACATGGGAAGTCTTAGGCATTTCCCCATTGAACGGAGATAAGGGAGCTTCAATTTCAAGGAAAATGAGGAAAGAGTAGGTAAGCAATGCATCCTCTATTTCCCAAGTGGTCTTATGCTTCCAGATGTATTATTATACCCCCCCAAATACATGTTAGACTGTTGACATGAAGGATGGTTGTGTAGTTGGAACTAGTGGTGGCTGTTCATAAGTACATCTCGTATTAATAATTTTACTTTGATCTAGCATTGCAAAACCTGATGCTATACTTCAAGGGTGAGGTATAGAGCTATATGCCTACACTGCAATGTATCAATCTCTTAATTCAGTGAAGAATTTTCCGGATGGCTGGTACAGGCATATTTAAAGTGTGTATAAGAGGTATGTTATTTGGTTTTATTGAGTGTTACTTATATCCTTTGATTTTTTAGAGACTTAACTTTCCTCTAGCTTGTATGGGATGCAATTATTTTATCAATTGTTGATTCATGTATTAATTGGTGATAAAGTGTTGCAACACCACAAGACATAGTTACTGCTGTTCAAATACGGTAAAAAGAAACGGGTGAAGAAGTTGATGACTTTGAAGGTGGATATATCTAATGCCCCACATAACCTATTCTATTCTTGGTCTCAGCCTTGCTTGCACACACTCTTGCTTAATGTGGTCTTGGCCTTAAACTGCTACACTTCCACATCCTCTACTAACTGGCACTTAATCTCTCTTCCTAACTGAAAAGTCTTGCAAAGAATTGTATGCAATGTTTAGAGTTTTGACATAATTCTAAATCTAGGCTGTTGAAATCTCTCAATCTTTATTTTTTGCTTCTTGTTGCTTGTTAGTGCTTTTGCACAGTTTGCTACCTTGATCTAACGCCTCAAGCACCCAACACATTCAACACCTCAACTATCCCAAGTATTGCAATAGAGATTGCAATCAGAAGGCTCATCCTCCTTCTCATCACTGGCCTCCTAGCTAGCAAATGCCATATGCAGGATCAAGAGGGATTTGATACCATGAAAGTGGAGAGATGTGGACACAAATGAGGAGGAAAGAACTCTATATCACTATATATGAATGGGTATATATATATAGAACTACTGCCATGTGGGCATAACCACTACTATATCATCTCTCTACTATCTAACAATACCATTCATGATTGTTGTTTTGCCAAACTAAGGTGCTGGTGTCCACTCAAATTCAAATTACTTAAAACTCTGCAGAAAGCTATGTTTTCTTCTTCCAATCAATATGACAATATCCAAGACCATTCGTTTAAGTTCGGAGGTGCTCCAGTAAGCTTATTTGATCTAAGCACCTTCTTGATTAGTAGCTAGACCACCTTGGCTTCTACCATACATTTTTATTCTTTGAAATCCTTAGGAGTTTGAGACTTCACCAAGGCACTTCATTGTTAGCAATAACAAGAAAAAAGATTTGTGTTCAAAACTATAGCCTTCACAAATGAGGTGTACAGTACTTACGGCTGCTAACTTGTTCAGGAATCTCAACTATGGGATCTGGCAAACTTGAACATCACATTCTAAGGGCGTTGTGGGCCAAAGTTTGACAGCTTTCGAATAAATCTTTTTGTACTAAACCTTTAAAACATGAGTTGGTGGCTATTTCTTCCAGTGAAATATTTTGATGATGTTTGCTGCATGGCCAGGTCGAGTATCATCTGCCACCTCCCTCATCTGCAAGAATCCAGTCCGCGGTCACTCCTGGATTCTATGGCATTCCACAGCGATCATACAATTGGGGAAACAAGGGGGGGACTGGATTATGCAAAAGCCCATGGCTCTATGGACATCCCAAGTTTCCAGGGATTCTTCAAGGTTGTTTGACTCATGCTCCGTATCGATCTGGAATCCTATATTTCCTAGAGGTACCATGCCACGATCGATGCTTGGTGTTGTAAGGGATCGCAGCTGGATGTGAAGAGATGGCAGTGGAATCGTTCAACAGCTGCGTCGATCCGACGCTTCCCTGGGTGCGAGTGATAGTATGTGGATAAAAAAATTATAAAATAAATTTAGAAAAATGAGATCGAGTTTTTAATTTAATTAGATTAACTGATCCATGGTGGTTAATGGTCCATTAATTGTTAATTATTACTGTTAGATGGTTATAGAATCTACCGAAATATTGGGATAAATAACATCAATATATTCCTATTTGGTCTGTATATAGAATAGCCAAGAAAAGAATTGCTTCAAGCCGCATTTGCTAGCACATTAATATAGCTATAAGATCAGGCATGGCCTTTCTTCTCTTTAACTTGTTTCCATGACTGGATGATCTGGTCTGGCTCAAACCAAGAAAATAGGCTCACAACCATTGCTTTTCTATAGTATGTATGGTTCTTGTGATCTTTTTGTGTCTCTTATTCCCGCATTGAATTTTATGGTGGGACTTTAAATTTCAAGGGAGGCAATGAGTTCCAACTCCCTCTACGAGTGTTGATGGCTAATTTCACTTGTAAATGTCACGCAACTTTCCTCCTTTGGCACTACAAACCCATTCTCTGGCCTAGGAACCACTATCTCATCAGAGATAATCATTAAAATTAACTAATTGTGCTACCGAGCCCTAACCCTCCCGAGCTGGGAGGTATGGCGCGCTCGAAGGCGCCCAGGGCATTTGTCCTGCGCAGGCATTTGCTGTGCGCAGCTGCGGCGATGGCGCTTCTCGTCGTGTGGGCAATGTGGATGAGCAAGGAAAATGAGGGGGCCGGGAGCGGCCACACGAGGTATCTGTACTGGGGATCCAGAATTGATTGCCCTGGTAAGATGTGTGAGGTCTGTGGAGGTCTGGGACACCAAGAATCCAGCCTACGCTGCGCTCTGGAGGAGGCGATTCATCTAAACAGGTAAGAATCCTCTCCCCTTCTAGATTTTCTAGATTTCTTAGTCCTTTGTGTGGATTTGCTCGCCAGGACATTTGTGCTTCCTTCGACGATCTGCATTGTTGGAAAGCACAACGATCGAATGCTTCCTGGGACGTCCTCCAGGTGAAGCTACGTTTTCAGTTTCTTGGAATTTCTATAAGCTGGACGTCTGCTTGATCCAGTTGGGACTCGAGAGAGTGTGCTGTGGAGGCTTTGTACGATTTGGATCTCATGTCCTCTACTGGAATTCGTGTCATCACGGACAGCTCCAGAGAATGGATCTCTTCACTACGAGCAGCGCGTAGCGTCGAGCATGCTCTGGTGAACGTTCATGGATTAACTCGTCAAGAGATCTCTCAAAGTCCACTACACTCGCATGCATTGATCATTAATCGGACAGCCAACTCGCTTGCATGGTAAGCTTTCTCCTGTTCTTAACCCTTCTTACAAGTTTTTTTTTTCCAGGTTTGTGGAATGCAAGGATAGGAAAAACCGCTCCGCCGTGATGCTCCCATACGCCTATCTTCCAACAATGGCCGCAAAGCAACTTCGTGAGGCTGCCGAAAAGGTCTTTACGTTTTGTTTTATATTTCTCTCTCGGAAAACTTAAGATAGATGGACTAAGTTTGCTTGCTTGTGGCGCATCCAGATACAGCAACGTCTTGGGGACTATGATGCGATGCATGTCCGGAGAGGAGACGTGCTGAAGGTTAGAAAAGACGGGCAGGGGGAGAAAAAGACCAAGTTTCCACACCTAGACAGAGATACACAGCCAGAAGCAATTCTCCGGCGGATATCCGCCTGGGTATCACGGGGACGGACACTCTACGTTGCGTCCAACGAGAGAAAACCGGGCTACTTTGATCCATTGGGATCCAGGTACTTCGATTGGATTTTTGCTGAACTGTGGTCGTGATCTTTTCTTTCATTGCCCCCTCTTTTCTTTTGCAGATATAAGATTGCATCTTCATCTAATTTCAGTGACATCCTGGGCCCTGTTATTCATAACAATTACCAGCTTTTTATTGTAGATCGGCTGGTTCTCTCCGGCGCAAAAACGGTCATACAGACATTTAAAGAGAACCCCGGGGACCTTAGCCTGACAGACGACGAGAAGAAAGTCCTCAGGTGGCAAAAACCTGTCTATACGTTTGATTGAGAAACGGCACGCAGCACAAGCAGAAGCTTTGTGCTTCCCAAAACCAGGTAGCGTATTGTTACGTCTTAATGCACTATAGTACCCGTACACATCTTTCCAGGTTTTAAAAGCATTGAACGGGGAACTTTAGCTCATGTTGCGGTAAGCATACTAACTTTTCGTGGTCCCAACTCCAGAGCTGAAACGGCTTATTGGATGTATGTATGCATTGCGTGCATGGGATGTTAGTGCATACATGCCCATCGATGTGATGCATTAAAGCTTCGCCATCGTGCTTCTCGTGGTATGGACTATAAAGTCGCTGCTGTTTTGCTCGCGGCCTTTAAAAATCATTTTAAATTGATAAAACTTGTGTATATTTCTATACTTGATCTTCCAGGAGTGGTGCCGATAAACCCAGTCGATCTCTTGCTTGGAGCGCCTGCAACAGCAGGTAATCAGTTTAGGACAACTTTTTCTTCACTCACTCTTTTTTCCCAGTTTGTGCTGAAGGCAGCGACGAAAAACACGAGAGCTTGTACGAGAAATCCAAACAACGATCCGGAGAGCAGTCCCTGTGCACACAAGATGAAAAAGCTCCAAGCGTGAACAACTCATCGAACCTCTACTCGAAGATGAAAGACAAATCCCAGCACATACGATAAAGGCAACCCCACAACGTAATACGCTCCAATGTTTCCAAGTGCTGCTATGGATTGCCATCCACATCCGGAAGCGACTCCTGCAACAACAGGAAAGGAACTGAGTTTCGCCGTTATCCCACTGGGCATATGATACGAACCATAACCAACGCTGTGGAGGGCTGAAAGGATGACGAAACCGCTCGCAAACGGTATCATCCTTCCAACGTAGGACACAACTTGGCTGTCGCTGCTAAAGGCGTGTCCCACGACGTTCCTGGAGAGCAGCAAAACCAGCATTGCCAAGGTTGCGTAGACTAAACAAATGAGCACTGCTACTCTGAAAGCAAAACGTGCTACGAGTGGGTTCCCAGCTCCGAGCTCGTTGGAAGTTCTCACGCTACATCGCAACAAAGGTTTAGAGGAAAAGACGTAAAACACTCAGACTTAAACTTGCCTCGTAGCAGCGCTTATCCCATACGAGGGGATCATCCAGAGGTTGATAATTCCCATCCTGTGACGTGAAACTCATGAAGTGAGAGCAAAACATCTGCGGAGACACTTACACAATAGAGAGCACTGACGTCTGGAGCGCCGGATTCGGAAGAACACCGGAGAACAGAATGAGAACTTCGAAAGCCCACCACTCCAAGCTGCGGCCAACATTCCACATTGAGGCCAAGAAAGAATGGAGTTATCAAAAGAGCGAGACACTCACCAGACCATGAGAGCCGATGGAATTGCGAGCTTCAAGAACTGGGAGATGCCATGGAAGGCCTCCGTGGTGAAACCATGCCAGTAATTGGCAAACGTTGGAGAAGCCGCAGCGGCAGTGACAAGAAAGAAGACAAGCAGCCAGTACGTGATACTGAGAGACACCGCGGCCCCGGCGTTTCCCATGCCGAGTTTATATGTGAAGATCCAACACAGGAGGATATGACAGAGTAGCGCCAAGATGGACGACCAAAAGAGAGGAAGAACCCTGCTCTGCGTCTGGAAGAACTTCACCATGGGCTCAAAGACGGTGTAGGCAAACAGGCCTGGAACAAGACGTCTGGCATACCTCTGAGCTCCGGCGGAAATCTCCGGATCCTGGCGGCACCAGAGAAGCAAAGGCTCCAAGTTGATCCAGAGCAGCGACACTGGGATACAGATGAGAGCGAGAACGAGCACCGCTTGCTGGATGAAGACGCCGACCTTGTGATACTGCTTGGCTCCATGGGCTTGGCCGCACAGAGTGTCGAGAGCAAAGGCGAGGCCGATCTTTTCACATCAGGGAGAGAATTTTGTCAACGAACATGTGTAAGTTTTCTGTCCTTTTTTTTTTTTTCTTTTTTCAGATCTGAGCTTACCACGAGGCTGAAACCCGAGACGTTGCAGAGAGAAGTGGCGATGGCGGCGCTGGAGAGCTCCAGAGTTCCGAGGTGACCGACGAACATGATGGAGACGAGCTGGACGGCGATGAGCACGACGTTGAATCCCGCCAGAGGGAAGATTATCCATGCCTGCTTGGCCGCCTCGCTTCGCACTCGATCCAAGGTGAAGTTATTGGCCTCCTTGGTCTCCTTTTGCTGCGCTTGGCGATCCTCGCCGCCCTTGGCGTCCATCTAATCCCTCTGTCCTTCTGTGTGTGTGCTGTGAACTAGAAGACCGCAAGTGTATTGATCGAGAGCGTCATGGCCATGCATTAATGGGTGTTAGCATGCCCATTCAAAAAGTAGTATTCATGCAATGCCTGGTCAAGATAGTTTAGGTGTTTTGTTAACATAACAGTTCTCTACTCTATAATCCCAAGTGTTGAAACTTTATATTTTATGATATTCTAGAATATTTTACCATTTAATGGTTGTTATTAATTTATATTAATCATGTATTTATAATTTATAAACATGTTTATAATTTAAAAACTTTCCTAAACATTTCCCAGTATATTCTTTTTATTCATGGCTAATTATGCAATAAAGTTAATCTTGATTTATAACTTATAAACTGTTTATAATTATTGATCAATTGGATTATTCAAAAATACTAATTAAGCAAACCAAAATTATTTTAGGTTACTCAAAAAAGAATATAATACAATAGATGCAAATTCAATCACTCTTGGTCCCTCTAGTCTTCAGTCAGGAATTGGAATGGAATCTGATAGTGACGCAAATGTACATAAATTCTCTAAATAACATTCCACTTGTATCCAGCTGGGGAGCATACGATTTTATTTTACTTTACTTCTCTCTATCTGCTTGTTTCCACTTCAATCTTCCTAGTTCCCTGTATTTCTTGTATTTGAATCCACCATTCTCATGCTTCTTAGACCATGTAAATAATATATAAATGAATGAATTTATTTAGAGACTCAGAGTGTATATTCAACCAAGGCGACCTTTGCCAACTTTCTACTGGTTTGGATGGTCAAACGCAGCTAAACGCATTTATCTAATCAATGCGACAGCACTACGTCGCACGAACTGTTCGTCCTGGTGATCGTGTCGTCGAAGATCTCTCGAGCTCGAGCTGGACATCCACACTTGGCGAGAGCGAGTTTATGTTTTCTTACCAGTAACCTGCGTACATCACTCCATCTGCATCATAGAAGCACGAACTCGAGGATTTTGAGCAGTGGAGATCCTCTAGTTATTGGGAAGAATAGAATCACCATGCAAAACAGTCCCGCTTGTCCCGGCAGTCCTGCTATCTTCATCTTCCTGTGTGACATGGGAAATATGATTGAATTCAATCAAGGGTCTTACGATTGTGTTATACTTACATAAAGATTAGCTCTGTAAACTTTTTTCACTGTGTTTAGGCAATGCCACCAAAATAAAGTAGTTGATGCAAAGTGGATATGTTGCAGGATTCCTTTGGAAACGCTTGTTCACACATGAAGCAAACTTTAAATACTAAAACCTAGGATTTTTCTGGATGTTTTTGTGCTAGATGCGCACCAAAAATTTCTGCATTTGCTAGAGTTGCATGAGCCATTACTTGCCACCACCAAACAGGAAGCTTACAGAATTAAGTGCTATGCTTTCTTATTTTCAGTTCCTATTTACATTGGTAGTTATGGTTTGACTTTGTATCCTGGCATATGCATCTCTTGCTATTGGAATGGAGAGGTTTCTAGTCCGGTGAGATTCCTGTTGACCAATCGCATTTTCAAGCCTACAAGTCGAAATTCAGCGAATGATAATTGTAGGTCGCGTTCTCAGCAGTTTTTCTATACTCCTGGCATAACGCTGCAACGCCTTCCTGCATGCTCATGGGGCCGCAAGCAAACACTCCCACATTCATGTTAATGGTGCTCTTGGCAAGACCAGCAAATACACCTGGTAACAAAGAAAATAGATTAGATAAAAGCATGACGAAAACTTACTCGCAAAATCTGGACGATGTCCATAGTGAACGCTGACAGGCTTGAGGCTTTCTTCCGGAGATCCCACATTGGTCATTGTTGTGGGCGATGGCGTCCATTGCCTCTTCCTCCTGACGGAGTTTGCAACGTACGCAATGGCTGCTCCAGCAATTATAACACCAAAGAGTGACTCGAGAAAAGCTAGGAGTGCTCCAAGAGATCGATCAAAGTCCTTGTCCTTGGAAGTATAGTGACTGTAAATCCAGAAGCGGCCAATGATCCCGGCCAGGAACATAAACCCGAAGAAGGACGCGAAGATGACGGCCGCTTCGACGACGCCACTCCCAGCCAAAGGTGGAGAAATTGCTCGCAGCTGCTGAGCAGCATACCTTGTCACGGACTTTGGAGATGGCTCGGCGTGGATCAGCACTGGGCCGCCTTTTCTTATGCTCGGAGCTTTGAGCAGCTGGATCTCTTTCGGGCCGGCGTTGTTTTGCTCCAAGTCTGCTGCTTGCTCGCGGGTGACATACGCTTGGACTTCGATGTTGAGAGCGTGCGCAAACTCTGGGCAGATCAGAGCTGGAGTGATCGAGTTGAGGATATGGAGCTCGTCCGACGTCTTGACTGTGTAGACGAGGATGATATCTTTGGGTGGCGTGAGAGACTTTGCTTGGATGCTGTAGAGGATATCTTTGAGCATGGACAAGAATGGAGAGATGCCACTTCCTCCAGCAATGAAAACTAGTACCTGGTATCTGGAAGGATCAAGGCCAGCTTTTTTGTCAAAGTACTAAAACCATGAGAACTATTACCTTGATATGTAGTCCAAGTTGTGGCCATAAGGACCTTCTATTCCAGCCTCAAGTTGCAGCGATCCTCCATTATCTTGGATCATGCTAATGATCTTTGAGGTCCAGTCTCCATTCTTTTTTATCAGTAGTGTAAGACGGTCGGTCTCGACGTTGGAGCTGGAAATAACCGTGAAAGGATGCCAGTCGAGTTTGGAGATGGCTGGCAAGTTGAGAAAAACGAAGCTAGCTGCGCTGTAATGTAGCTCTGCTCAAAATCATGACAGATTTTCTAGTTGGAATTCACATGACGAAAAGTTTAAAACTATGAACTTACCTGGTTCCTTTGCAAACACGAGCTCAATGGTCTCAGAGCTCAGCACTCTTACTCCCATGACATCAACCTTTTGTCGAGATTGCACAAATCTCAAGAGTCGATTTACGGCGAATAACATGACGCCACCCAGAACCATAGCGTAGAATCGATCTCCAAGGTGCAAGCCAAAAAAGAGGATGAACAGTATGTATAGATGATGGGTGTAATAGAAAAGCTCAAAATTTGCCTTGCGAACCCAGCCGATAGAAGTCGCCCACATTACTAGTCCAATTATCAACGCAATGAGTCCAGACAAGCCACTTATCTCGTCGCTGTGCCAGGCCCAGAGCTGCGAAGAACACTAGTGAAAAAAGCTCTTTTTTCCGGAACACATACCTCGTGGATCTTTTTCTCGATTATCCAGTAGATTATGTACAACAGCCCATGAACAGTCCAAGCCACCAGCATGGTGATTCCAATCCAAATGTGGTATTTGACTGCGTGCTCAAAAGGAATGTTGAGAAGTCGGAGAAGTGTAGAGCCTCTAGTCACTGGGAAGAACAGGATTGCCATGCAAAAGAGACCAGCTAGACCCGCTTCCACTGCTGCTATCTCTAGCTTCTTGTGCCACCTGAGGTAAGCAAACATTACATCTTTGAGGAGAACAAAGAACCGTGGTCATGGTTACTTACAAGGGCTCACGAAGCTTGGCTCGATTTATTGAGTTCACCGATCGTATGTAGTAAGCCGTGAAGGTGTAGACGGTAAAGAGCACCAAAGCGCATAAGAAAAGGAAGTCCGCCGCTGAAACAATCGAAAGTGGTCCCCTGATGAATAGTGGGTATGTTTCTGGATTGCTCCTGAAGGCTCGTAAGCTGCTGTTCCTGCTCAGAACAGGCAAAAGTTCCTAAGAATTTGGAGGGAGAATATCTCGCGGATACAACTCACTTGATCTTGAAGGCCTGCTTTCTCTTGTGGTGATAAGCCAGAGCCGTTGCGATCCCCGCGAAAATGATCGGAGCGCAATATACCACGATCTGCGGTCCTGCAAGGGTCGTTAATGGTACCCATAGAAACTTTAGAAGCTGCTTACCATTGTAATATGCTTTGGTCCTTGTTTGAGCCTGCGCGGGGGTCCAAAACTTCTGATACGCGTCCAATGGTCTCATAAACCACAAGAACGTCCACAAAACCAGGACGACTATCGCAGAGAACTTGAGCACTGCTTTTGTTCCACCGTGCCTCGCGCTCTCCATGGCTGCTAGATGTAATTCCAAACTAGCGAGCGAGCCTTAAAGCTACCTGATAGAAGCGGGATTATATACAAGCGAGGACGTTGCCTACTGTGTTGTTCTTGTCGCGCAGCGTTTTGACTTCGTAATATATAACTCAACTTTACCACAGCTTGCATTACATGTTCTGCATATCCCGCTAACAACTGGGTGGGAAAACTGCCTCCCGGGCCGCCTGGATTCCAGTGCTGACTTTTGGTTTAATCCAAATGAGCCTCGTAAGTCGCGAACGGATTGAGCGAGAACAACTAGCTTACAAGCGCGCATGTTTCTAGCGTGGCACCACGCGCGAGCCCGTGTGAGCAAACTTAAACGTAAACTTCTCTTTCGCTGGAAGGTCAGTACGCAATGCAAAGTCGTTTAAAACACAAAAACTAGAAAAAAAAAAAAAAGAATTATCATACTTAACGCTTCCACTATCGGCCTCGATAAAGGCAAGGCTCAATAGACCGTTTTCTGTAACTTTGAGACACTGCAAAAGGGGTCTCAAAGATTCCCTGTAATGTAAGTGTAAAAAATATGGTACCTGTATTACAGGTCGTAGTTTAATGGATGATAACTAAATCTCGGTGCCTGGCACTGCGAAGCCACCGTGCGTTGCATCTCTACAGGTCCACACGCAAAAACTCCAACTTTGGATCCCTGCAGTCGCTTCGCATACGCATGGAACACATCTGATCAGCCAGAGTAAGTACTAGGAACGAGTAACTTTAGACTCTAACCTGGAAGATGTGGACGACTCCCATAGTGGACCTGCGAAGGATGAGTCGGTTGGCTAGATATTGTTGAAAGCATCCTCTCGGGCTTCTTGTTCACGCCTTTGTCGCTTCTTGCCAGCCGATTCCAAAGGGCCAGAGTTCCTCCACCAAAGACAACGACGCCAATCACGGTTGCTATGTATCCAAAAAGACCACCCAGCGAGCGAGAAAACACGTCCGAGGTGTTGTGGTCGACCGGATACACGACGAATCTCTCGAGGATGCCAATGACGAACAGGAAGCCTGCCGAAGATGCCAACACCAGCGCTGCGTGGAGCATCCCATTTTGGATCCCCTCGGACCCAGATATGCTCCTCGGTTGAGACTTTCGGGTGCTGAAAATGATGGTGCTTGCTGTCGTCTGAGGCTTCTCCAACTCGGGGCCATCCTCTCGGGTGACATAAACTTGGACGTCGATCTTCAACCGGCTAGCAAAGTCTGGTGTTATGAGCTGTAGGACAGAGAGGTCGTCGGACTTTTTCACGGCCCAGAGAAGAATGATCTCCTCAGGTGCCAAAACTTTCTGGTTTTCAATATCATAGAGGAGCTCCTTTATAATGGAAATAAATGGTGAAATTCCACTGCCCCCGGCGACAAAAATCAGAACGTCATAGCTGAAAAAAGTTGAGTCAGATTTATGCTTCCCAACTGAAAGCCTTACCGAGCGACGTAGCTCATGTCGTGGCCGTATGGCCCTTCAACAGCAGCCTCTACTATATGCGATGTGTCGGCGTTCTTTAAGTACTCCTTGAGTGTCAGCGTCCAGCCTCCGTAACACTTTATCAAAAGCGAAAGATGCTCCGTGTCTACTTTGGACGAAGATACGATGGTAAAGGGATGCCATTGCAGTGGAGACACGACAGGGAAGTTCACCATAATGAAACTTGCCGGATTATATGCGAGACCTGACATAAAAATGCGTTCGTAAAAGATGGTCCAGAGAGAACAAACAAGCAGAAAGCTACTTACTCGGATGCTTTGCAATAGTAAGTTCCATCGTTTCCGAAGACATCATTCGAGCTGATAAGACGTCTACGATTCTGCGTGACTGTATGAACCTCAGAAACCGATTCAGCAGAAACAGCAAGATGCCACCCACAACCGCACAGAATAACCTGTCTCCAACGTGTAATGCAAAGGTCAAAATGAATACAATATAGAGCTGATGTGTGTAGTAGAAAAGCTCAAATTTCTTCTTTCGAACTGGGCCAAGAGATGTCATCCACATAATCACGCCGATAATGTATACAAACAATCCAGAAAGGCCGCTTATTTCTGTTTTCTTCCACTGAACAAGCTGAGAGTTTGACGAGAATGTAAGAACGAAGATTAAAGCAAACTGCTTACCTCTGTCATCTTGCCAGTGACAGCCCAGAAGATCACAAAAACCAGTCCGTGGACTGTCCAAATCACCATCATAATGTGTCCAATCCATTTGTGATACTTAATCGCGTGCTCAAAGGGTACATTTAACAAACGAAGAAACACCGAGCCTCGAGCAACTGGAAAGAACAAGAATGCAAGGCAGACAATGCCGACGAGTCCCAAATTCGTTCCAACCATCTCCAATTTTCTTTCCCATCTGAAAAGGAAACACGTTATGTATGAAGCACTCAAAACAGAATAACTCCTCACAGTTTTAACTGGTGCTTGTGCAGATAAGCAGGAGTGATTTTAGCAAACTTTGTGCTCAAGTACTCCGATAGTGTCCACACGAGAAGAGCCACGAAGAGAACGAGGCATGTAAGCTCCGCCGCAGAGGCAACTGCAAGTGGTCCTCGAACTACAGCAGGGAAAGAAAATGGATTTACTCGCACTCCATCCCTCCTGGATTAAAACTTTAGTTTAAGCGTGAATTCAAAAAGAGGATCTACCTCCTAGTGCTGTCGTCTTTGGAAAGCTGAAGATAAATCGCACCAACCACAGCCAAGATGACGACGGGAGCCGAATAAAAAAGTGTGAAGGACCCTGCCAGGACCTGTGTCAGCCGACTCTTGTGACCTCACAAGCAAGATATATTCGTTCTTGTTCTACCAGCAGCAATGCAAAGAGAATGAAAGAGCACCAGGACTTCTATACTCAATAATTGCAAGCATGAGAGTTTCCTCGGCTAGAACCTCAAGACGAGCCACAATGCGATCGATCACACACAAGAAGCACTCAACATGTTTACCTGCGACTCCATAAGCTTTCGTTGTGGTATCCTTCGTGAACGACTGCCAGAACTTGGAGTAGGCGGAGGTTGGTCGCATCACCCACATCAAAATCCATCCTCCGAACAGCAGCAGCATCAGCAGCCGCCACACGACCCTCGAGAGAGCAGCCATGCCACCGATGAATTGGGAGGAACGGATGAATCCCTTCAAAAAGTACACTGCAAAACAAGGAAGGGGAAAAGCAAACGAGTGAGGGAGGAGAGCGAGCAGTAATCTGAGAACTCACGGCGCGAGTGTGTTGCCTAGCGACGAGCATCATGCCACTGTAGAAAACATTGCACACGGATCCAAGTATATAAACAAAACCAGAGATCATAACCGTGCGCTGCTTTCCATGGTTTTGATTGGCGATTTTAGTGTGTACCATATAAGGACCACCACCACCATCGGTACCATCGATATGATTGAAAAGAATGAGCAAACATTGCGTCCGTCAACGTTAGCCAGCCGAATCGAAAAAACCATCTCCGGACCCGGGCCCATGCACCAACAACAAAAACACCGTGCCTTACGTGTGCTATGCTGCGCTAAGCGTGTGCTTGAGCCGTGATTTGCATGCATGCACTCACAGACTAAGCAGTCAAGCGCCAGTCAGGCAATAGAAACAAAAAGAAAGGCGACAAGACCAGAGATGCATGCTTAAGTTCCAAGGAAGTAACAGCAACAGCAACAACATCACAATACCAGTCGTTTTCTCTCGAGTGTGTTGTGGTAGGCTGGCAGCAAACGCACTGAGTAGAGCTTGGACCGCCACTATCGGAGGTCCGCACCTGGATGATGTGGTGTTACTCACAAATCAAGTGGAAGCGCACCACTAACCAGAATAAATGTGGCCATCGTTTTCGTTGTCAAATTAAAAGATCTAGTGATGTGAACTGGACGGCCTGGCGGAGAATCCTTGCTCTGTTCGCATACGACACGTCGGTGCTGCGTAGATCCAACGTAAATCTCTTGTGCTCTGATGCAAGCAGCGCGTTCCCTCGACACGAAGCAGCGTGAAGGACCTGCAGTCGGGCGTAAGAGACAGAATTGTAAAGCGTTTGCGTAGGACCTCTGGAAGATTTTCTTCACCGTATGAGTAGTTGCCCATCAACGAGAACTGAAACACGACAGCGTGACGTCAAGATGTTGCGCGATATCAAACACATATACCCGTTGTAAAGAAGAGTGGTTTTGCATAACCGCGCAGAGCACTCTGGAACACGAGTCCTGGACGTTGTTGTTAGCAAAAGACAACTCCAGCAAAGACGTGTTTTCCTGAAAATCGGTATGCATTTCTTTTGCAGAGCATCAGACACGCCACAAACCTGAAGCCACAAAAGAATTGCACAAGCCCCTGCCGCAGTGATCTTGTTGTCGCTTAAATCAAGTGCCTGCAGTTATCACAAAAGCGCTTAGAGCGATGTTGTTCAAACTTTTACCTGAATATGAGCATGTTTTCTCAGTCCCTCTGCCAAGAAAAATGCATGTTCGTCTAAGAGACAGCACTGCTGCAACCGCAGAGTCTTCAACTGTGTCGGTACAGCATCAAGTATTGGTTTCGCTACTCTGTATAAACGTAGATAAGAACCAAGACATAGAAGGAAGATCTACTTAACAAGCGCTCTTCTTGAATAGCATCCGTGTTACAGTTTCCTGTAGATGTACGAAAAAGAAACTTCGACCAATGTTCAAAAATCAATACCGTTAAAAAGAAGCTCCTTCAGTCGACTGTACTTTAAAGCTGCAAGTGCTTCCTCAGGTATGAATTTTCCAATACCATTTTCCCGTACATCCAATACTTTCAGAGATCTACAGTAAAATGCAAGTTTTTTCCAAAAGAAAAATCACAGTATACTGCGTACCTTGCAAACTCAAGGGCCCGAGCGATAGCTGTGAATCCTTCTGTCAGGATGCAGTTGTAAGCGAGGCGAAGTACCTGGAGCCTTACAACGTGAAAAAATAAGAAAACGAGCTGTTTCACATAGAGAATAGCTACCTGCTATGTTTCCGAAGAGAAAGGCTCAAATTTACTGCCGCTTCCTTTGTAAAGCCTGTCTCACTATGCATTGAGAAACTTTTAGCAAAAGGCTATAAAGGTGACAAGCTACCTGATATCTAGCAGTTGGAGAAGCTGCATTTCTGCTAATATTTTGCCAACATAAAGACCATTATCTCCTAGCTGAACCTTTGCAAGGCCTGCAACAGTTACTGTAAATACCCGCTCGGAACGTAACGCTATGCTCACAAAGGGAGAATAGAGCTGGAAATTGAGCCATATATACGTCGAACGACAAGCTGCCCTCTCCTGTCATTATCCACTCCCAGAATGCGGACCGTATCTGACAACGAGCAAAACAGTATTGCACTTTGATAAACCCAAACTTACTGTATGCGTGTACACCCACTTTCCCTTGTGCGATACTTCAGCAATGAAGCTATCGTTTGTGCCTAGAACTTCTTTTCAAGAAAAGCCACAAAGAAAAAATTTCATGCGTACCTCCGTCCTGTCGATCAGCTAACTGTTGGAGATAAATTGACATATATAGTGATTTCCATGAAGTTGGAGGTGGCCTGTCTGAGGTGATCCATTCGTCGTACGCTGGATAGTGCTCCAACGAACAAATTGACATTGTTGCATCGTCATGCATCATTTTCTTGCAGTTTTCCTCCCAAAGACTTCTCGTATCTGTTAAATGCCGAATTAATTAGCAAGCAAGAAGCGTTTCCTTTGTAGGCATACCAAGACCCAGAGATAAAAAATCATCCCTTTCTTCAGCGTAAAATAAGTCTTGCGCGGAAAACTGCTCCGCAACACACCATGCTAAGTCTGGTGGCATTGACGAGACATCCGGTACATCTGTCCAAGTGCCACGAATTGATCAAACAGGAAAATCCTCCTAGCACAGACCTTTTAGATTGTGAGCAATCATCGCCGCAGCAACCTTTAGAAGATTTTTTATGCCAAAAAAATGAGCAGCATGAACAATTTCCATCACTTGGCTTGGTTCTACCTTTTAAAAAAGAAATGAATGATAAAAGCGAAGAACTGAGCTTACTTTACCTCGAACTGAAACGTTACTCGCGGGGCGTTTTGTCCCCAATATTTCTCTGCCTTAAGACTGTCAATGTACTCTATAAAAACGAACCGCATTACAGCTTCCAACACCTTGAAGTTGATCAGAAAAATCTCGCTATGAGAGAGAGAAAAAAAAAGAACTACCTCGTAGCGAAAATCTGGGAATCGGATCACATTCTCCAATCTTTCTCTAAACTGCACTGGAAAGAAAGACACAAAACCACCAATGAGAACGAAAATCCAAAGAGAAAAGTGACGAACCTTCTCCGCGAAGAATAACATCGACGCATTTTAGCTGCTCCACTATCTTCCTAGGAACAAAGAACTCCACCTCCTCCTGGCAGACGATCCGGAGGTAGCCATTCCCGTCCGCCGGAGTGATCTCGAGCGAGATCGGGGCTGGAACCGTCGGCTTCCCCTCGAAAATCTCAATGCTGTCCGCTGCCGGCGCCAGCGCCTTCCTGTGCTTACGCTTCCAAGGCTTTGGCGACAATGCGCGCACATCCCTGGCCGCCATAGCTGTGCAGATGCTAGAACTCGATACAAAACCCACTGCGTCGCTCGACAAAGCCCTAAATTATAGAGAACTACATGAGTCCCTACCGCTAATGCAACGTCACCTTTTATACAAACCATATCTATTCACATAAATACGATATATTCTTCCTTTCCAGTCTACTAAATCTTCTTAGCTCGCGAACTTCAAGAATCTACGATGTTCTTCATGCCGCGCTTTGATCGCAGTAGCTCCTGGCGCCGCGCGCTCGTCAGCTTCACGAAATCGGCCTCGGATTTGCGGTGGGACTTGCCTTTGATCGGCGTCTTGAACTGCTCTCGGTGCTTCTGCTGGATGCGAGCAGCCTTGCTCGAGATCACTCCTCCTCTTGGAGCTTCCGGAGCTGGATCATCGTCACTCGGGCTATCGTGATCGTCTCCACTGCTCTTGTGACCCACCTCGAATCTCCGCTGCTCCAGGCACTCTGCTCGCTTCTTCCTGGCTCTCTCCAGCACCTTCTCCATGGTTGATCTCTTGTGAAGGAACACCGGGCCCTTCTTGTACTGGTTCCGCGACTTTGATCGCTCCATTGCTCTTCTCAGCATCGCTTTGAGGTGCTCGGATCCAAGTTCCTCGTCGGTGGCTTGCGTGAGTTCCTCGATCATCTGGACAGCGCTCTCCTCTGGAAGATCAAGCGTTGGAGCGGGAGTATCCGTTTGAACTTCGAGTTCCTGGACAATCATAGCTACGGCTTGGTTCTCGGAGGCCTCAAGAGTTTGATCAACTCTGCCTTCCACAATGAAGCCTTTCGACTCGCTGAGCTCGGAGGTAATTACTGCGTCTGGAGTTGGAAGTGAGAGTTCCTTGATATCAGTAGCTGCTGGAGATAGATCATCTTCACTTTTCCCCAGTGCTGCTTCTTCAGCTGCGAATTTGGGCACTGATTCGTAGACATGGTGCTTCTTTTTCGCTTCTTGTCGAGCGACACCCACTGCTTCGTCGAGAAGGGCCTTCGTTTCAATGACAACTCCTTGTTTGGCAACAGCCACCACTGCTGCGTCGGAAAGGACCTTCGTTTCACTGACAACTTCCTGTTTAGCGACAGCCGTCACTGCTTCGACGAGGACCTTCTCTTTGGTGACAACTGCGATCTGATTCTGATCACGAGAAACCTCCACAGCTGGAACTTTCTCGTCCTGTTGCTCGTGAGAAGCCTTAATCACAGCAGGCAAAGTTTGTCGTGCCTCCACTACTTCCGAGACTTCGCCACCTTTCTCGGTTGTCTTAATCTCCACTCGAGCAGCGGACGGAGTTTCTTGCGCCCCCATTTCTAACGCTTTGCCACCCTGTGCTTGATCGTGAGAAGCCTCTGCCAAGGCAGCAAACGTTGGAACCTCGACATCTTTCTCATCTTGTCGATCCACCTCCGCGACTGCTTTCTCAGGATGATCTTCGTCGTCTAGCTCAATTGCTTCCGGCGATCTCTCTAGCTTTGCGCATCTGTCACACAAACACAAACACACGCATTCAGGCTCTTTGCAAACTTGAGAAAACTTACCTTCCATCACCATGATCCAAGTTCTCTCGAGCATCCATCGACGTCTTCACCTTGTCCGGTTCCTCGGCAACGCTGTGCGCGTCGTCAAACTCACCCTTGTCATCACTCGCAGTACAAAAGCTATGCTTGTCATGCTCGCCATCGTCACGCTTCTCATCGTCGCGGCTTTTCACCGGCGAGATCGCATTTTCCTCCGTGGTACACTGGCTCGACTGAGAATCACCCACAGCGCTTCCAGTTCTCCCAGCGGCTGGAGGAGCCACATCCTTGTCCTTGCCACTCTCGCGGCTCGCTGGAGCCTGCCCAGATCAAAGCAAAACTCGATCGATCTGGATCCAAAGTATGAGGTGGGCTTACCTTGAAGAGCGCCGCGAGCGCGTCCGCCATGAAGAGATTGGTCTTGTTGGCCGGAATTCCATTCTTCTTGCACAGCTGCTGCAAGCGCCGCCTAGGGAGCTTGTGGTAATCCAGGGCCGCCTTGTCGCGTGCCATCGCCGCTCGGGATTTCTAGGGCTCGCGCTCCTCCATCTCCTTTTAACCAGCTGGGAAATGAGCCGTTGTGGCATATTCTGGCAGCCACTGTCTGAAATTCCGAGCGATCTCTTGTACGAATGGACTGGAAGATCATCCCGTACAGCTCCAGTGATCTAGCTCCTGGAAACTTTCTTTTTCCATGCGTACCAGGAAATGACGTCAGGCTCACATATGGAAGACATAGATCACGTACCAAAGTTTTATTTTCTTGTCAGCTTCTTCCTTGCAGCCATTGGTAGTTAGAACTATAAGCTTGGAAGTGCAGAATCGTAAAAACGACCTGTACAAAACTCATGGTTATAGTTGTATCAAAGATTTATATGTGAGGCACCTTCTCATACTGCAGGGATGGCTCAAAGATGGAATCCAGCGCTGGCAAAACTGAGGGATAAAGTTCTCCTGGATCATCTGTACAAAGAAGATATCATAATGTTGTCTAGAACACGAAGAAGTGAAGAAGAAGAAAAACGTACCGGAGTTCGTCTCGTGATCTTCAAACCGAGTTTAACTCGGAGGAAGAATAGATGTTGGACATCATCACGTAGGCGGAGGCATTCCCTCGATCCAGCTCCAGCACCGACTCAAAGGCAAGCTTCCCCACTTCCAAGTTCCTCCACTTGTAGCAAGCACTTAACAGTGCCATCCAGCTCTCGGCGCTCGCATCCACCGGCATTTCTTTCAAGAGCTCGGCTGCTTCGTCCAGCCGGTTTGCTCGTCCCAGGAGGTCCACCATGCAAGCGTAGTGCTCGGCCCCCCGCGGAAGTCCGCGCTTCCTCCACATCTCTTCGAAGACTTCCTTTCCTCTCTCCACGAGACCTTTGTGGCTGCAAGCCGTGAGAACCGAGAGATAAGTCACTCCGTCCGGCTGTAGATCCTTCTCCTGGAGCTTCATCTTCTCGAAAAGCTCGAAAACCCGATCAGTGTCTCCCTGGCAGCTATATCCCGAGATGAGAGCACTCCATGTCACCATGGTCTTCCTGGAGATCTTCCGGAAAACTTCCTCGGCTTCTGCCATGCTTCCACACTTCCCGTAAAAATCCACCAGCGAGTTTGCCACCATTGTGTCCGTCTCCAATCCAGCACTGCAAATCTCGGCATGGAATCGTCTACCTCTTTCCAGCGCTCCCAGAGCAGCGCACGCCTTGAGAGCTGCGACATAAGTCACCGAGTTGAGCTCGCGGCTGCCTCGTTCTTCTCTCATGCGTTCCACAGTCTCGAGCGCGGCCTCACTTTCACCGTTCCCCAGGAATCCCAAAACGATGCAGTTCCAGGAGACCACGTCGGGTTGCCGAATCCTTTCGAAGACGTGAAGAGCATCCACCGTGCTCTGGCTCTTCGCGTAAGAATCCAGCAGCGTATTTGCCAGCATGGTGTCAAGTTCCACGTCGAAAAACCTCACTGCTCGAGCGTGGATGTCTTTGAGAAACTGTAAGCTGTGAGAATGCTCCTTCTCGGCAAAGCAAGCACAGGCTTTGAGCGCTGCGAGGAGAGTGACACGATCCGGTGAAGGGCCTCGGCCTTGGATCATTTGCGAATAAAGCTCGAGTGCCTTCTGGGCTTCACCACTTTCAGTGTATCCCAGCACCATGCAGTTCCACAGAGCAACGTCGTCTCGCAGATCATTTCTCAAGCTTTCGAAAATCTTTCGAGCTTCCGCAGTAAATCCACATTTAGCGTAGAGGTCGACCAGGCTTGTGGCGACAGGTAATTCCAGAGCCTTCGCTTGTTTAGCCGCTGTAGCATGAATTTCCCTGCCTCTCTTCACTGTGTTGATCTTCCCGTACCTCCCTTCGACGAGCTTGCCATCTTCTTTGCTCGCGAGACTGGACAGAGATTTAAGAATAGCAACCAACACAGCCGTGCTCGGTTCGCCACCTTCGTCTTGCATGAATTGATAGAGCTCGAGAGCTGATTCTTCGTCTCCATTCTGTGCATGAGATGAGATGATAGCAGTCCAAGCCATCCTTCTATGCTGGCGAGAGCTTTGAAAGACCAGCACAGAATCCGCTAATCTCCCACATCTTCCATAAAAGTCCACCAGGCTCGTCTCGAAAACCATCTCCATCTCGTCTCGGTACCTCACAGCGTGTGAGTGGATAACTCTGCCTCTTTGCAGTGCCTCTCGCTTGCCTTGTTCGTTGGAAGCCATGGAAACGCATGCCTTGAGAGCACCAAGAAGTGTCAGGCAGTCCGGTAAGCAGCTTTCGTCGCGCATTCGCGAATAAAGCGTCAAGGCCACCTCGGCTTGTCCACTCTGTGCGTATCCCAAGATGATAGAGTTCCACAAAACGACGTCCCGGTGCTGGACATTTTCGAAAACTCGACGAGCATCAACCATGCTGCCGCATTTCGACAACATATCCACCAAAGTTGTCGCCACAACGATGTCCTTGGACAGATCCAAGCTCCTGGCTTTCTGAAACTCGCAGAAGATAGCCCTCCCTTTCTCCAGGAACTTGTAGCTCCCAGCAAGAGATTCCTTCTCGGCAGCGCTCGCGCAAGACTTAAGAGCAGCAAGAAGCGTGACGCGATCCGGTTCGTGTCCCTCGGCCTTCATCCGCGAGAAAAACTCCAGTGCCGAATCGGCGTCACCACTTTGAGCGTAGCCGAGTATCAGCCCCGTCCACAAGACAACACTAAGTTCCTGGAGGCTCTCGAAAATTCTTGCAGCATCCACCATCCGTCCACACTTTGCGTACATATCCACCAGGCTGCTCGCAGCAAAAGTGTCCAACTCCACACCGATTCGAGCAGCCCGAGCATGAACTTCCTTTCCTTTTCTCAAACTCTCGACCTTCTCTGCTCGGTCTCCACTAACTTCGTTCTCGGCTATGGCAGAGCAAGCCTTGAGCGCGGCAAGAACCGTGACACGGTCAGGTGGGCAACCGTGTTCCTCCATCCTCGAGTAAAAATCCAAAGCTTGATCGCCATAGCCATGCTTGGCGAGGCCGAGAATGATGCTAGTCCAAGAAATTACGTCCTTCTCTTCCATCCTGTCAAAGAGCTCGCGAGCTTCTGATATACAGCCACATTTCACGTACATGTCGAGGAGGCTGTTGGCGACAACGAGGTTGGAGACATCTCCGCTGTGAATCACATCGCCGTGGATCTTCTTCCCTGTTACCAAATCCCTGGAGAGCTTGCACGCCTTGAGAGCAAAGATAATGGCTGCTAAGCTCGGCCTACAACCCCGTTCTTGGAGCTCGAAATATTTCCTCACTGGAATGGTTGCATCAGTGTTTGTGGGAGCGCGTACCATGGGACGCCCTACATTGTGCCCAAGAGCCCTAAGTTTCCTGCTTTATTTTGTAAACAATTAAGCGAATTATACTTACACAATGACTCTACAAGAATATGAATTTCGTATAATGTGTGAATGTTTATAGAAATATATATTTTATTTTTTTAAGAGTTAAAATATAGACCATAATTTTTTACCATTATTTGCATTGTAAATTATAACATTACCTTCATTTCTTACAAGTAATACTGTATCTAATATACATGGCTCTTTTAAGCAATATCTTGTTGCCCAAACTATATTATTATTACTTTTAATAATAAAGTTTCCATTTTCTTGTAAAACTGCAACACAATTATAATTAATGGCATTTATTCCAAAATTTCCCATACTTTTCCACATAATATTGTTGGTAGAAACTTTGTGAAATTTAAGTTTACAATTATCTTTTAAAGTAAATCTAAACAAACCATTTGGTGATACTAAACTGTTATTTTCTTCTATATATGATCCAATCTCATTTTGAAATCCACTTATTAATGAAGATCTATAAAGTGCTTCACAATTCCAATTTGAAATATATATTTCCGAATTTAAAATTTTGATATTTAAATTGGTGTTACCTTTACCTGTTGATCTTAATTTGTATTTTAATGAGAAATTTAAATAAGCCACATGTATGTAACCATAAAATGAGTTTGGGCTTGATAATGCTTGATATTCTAAATTATCTAAAATATATGTAAAAACTTTTAACAAAACATCATCTCGATATTTTTCAAGTTCAGTTGGATCCAATAAACAAAATGAAAAAGATGGGAGAACCTTATCTCTTACAATTTCAATTGGTTTCAATATGGTTAATTTAATACTAATACCTGCATTTTGTAAAATGAATGCTGGAATTTTAATTTCTCCTACAGAAAAAGTTTCACCATTTTAAAAATAATCTTTAATATAATCAAAGATATAGTTTATTAAATTATAAAAATCTTCAATATTTAATTTATTTGGACTTTCAGCACTTATAACAGCTGGATAAAGTGGCTGATCATTATCATTTCCTATATTAAAGGAGACATAGTAACATAAAATTATAAAAATCAAAATTTTGATTCTAGAAAGCAATAAATTCATAATATAGATTAATATTGCAAGTATTTATAAAATTGGAATATTTTTTTAATGTGATTTAAATATATTTATCACTTATCTATATAAAGAAACTAGAAATTGCATTGGTGGTGAATACCTATGATTTTTTTTGAGTATTATTTTAATCATTTTATTCTAAATTTAACCCTGTTTTTAACTGATTTAAAGGGTTTTAATATTCTAGTTTGTTACCAAGTGGCATTGCACAAATAAAACATCTTATTTTAATGATCAGAGAAAAATTTAAAATTGAGTTAGATTTTAATGCATGAAAGACTAGATCCAAAGTTTGCGTATACTCCAAAATTCACCAATATGCAGACAAGAAGGTGCTTCTTGATCAAGAGGATGAAATGAGACAATGGTCTGCCTAATTCCCACTGTGAGGCTGCTGCTGCCAAATATCTACTACAGCAATCTCATCCAGCAAGTGATCTAAACTCCCATCATAACTACTATTAATGATTTTTATTGACAATTCCCAAGTTTTGCATAACAGCTTAGACTCTCAGCTCATGGATCTGGTGGAGTGACTTAGCCAGACACTTGCCAAGTCACAAAACTGGAGCCAGCATCTTTGTTGCAAACACTTTTCTTTTGAATACCTTAGCAAGAATGACATGTTGGGGGTTGAGGTGCTATGATGTAATGTCATGAATTTTTGCTGCGCAGGCTCAACTGAGACATCTCCAAACATCCCTTCTAGTGATTCACAGCCTCCACCACAATTGGGACATACCCCAATGCAAGATCTAGCCAAGATGCTTAAGATTCGACAAATGCCCAAGGTACTAGACTGTTTTTTATAGGCACTTCCAATAGTTTGAGAGGCATTTGGGAGGCTCTTATCTAGCTACATGCAGCTCTACTCCTTGCTCCATTACACAACACATGCCAGCAAAAGGTGGCAATCCTTTTTAGGTACCACCATTAACAACCAATTTTTTGGCCTCTTTATTTGGGGATTGAGCTTTTGATAGGAGGTTCATGGTACCAAATGAGCT